CCCCCCCAATTTAATCCTCAATAATTCTTGGTTAGAGGCAGGGACCCTTCAGCCCCAAGATGTTTTTTAAAATGCCACAGCTTGATCTTGTGAATGTGCAGTGAAGACAAGGGAGCCTCTAAGCGGGCACAGAACACCTCATCATTACAGCAGAACAACTACAAATAGCTATCAATCCACATTGCTGAGAAGAAAAGAAAGGCTTTCTGGTCAGAATGTATGACATTTATTTCTTTTACAAAATTTATATCCTGCCTTTCTGCGTTCACAAAGGCCACCAAGGTGACTAACTCATTAAAATATACATAACACAATCACATTTAAAAACCATTAAAACCAACTCCCCCCCAAACCATACATCATTAAAACAATTAAAAAAACAGAGCTAAAATATGCAGAAAAAAGCATAAATTGAAACACTGGTCGGGAAGGAGGGAGCCCTTCTCCTCACTTTAGGGATAACACATTGCAATTTCCTATTTCATATTTCCCTCCTCCATTCCTTATTGATTTATAAACTTTTAAACTTTCTTTTCTCACAAAGAGTCAAAGAGGTGAATACTAATGTATATGCAAATAGTAATATAAATGAAATGTATCTGCTTTAAAGGGATGCCCCCAAATGCTGCATAGTCTCATTGGATGCTTCTCCTCTCCAGGGTTTTCCTGCCAGTTTAATGGGGGTCACTTGCTTTCAGAGACCCTCCTCAGGGCAGTTATCCACCAGCCTGTTAGTGAAGACGGTGAGCAAAACCTGGGCAGCTACTAGCAAAACCCTGGCAGTTGGTCAGATCCAGACTGGTCTGTTCTCTTCTTCTCGTCCTTAGCCCTTGTAGTGGAAATTCTGTTGGCTAGAAAAGGAGAGGCAGACAGACAGATGTCTCTTCCCTGTACTTCTCGGCAAAAAAAGAGAGAGTCAAATAACAATTTTCAAGTAAGGGATATGATGGTGTTTACTGTTGTCCGCTGTATGGACTCCTGGGGAAAGCAATACTATTTAAATACAAAATAAAAGCTAAGCCTTTTCTGCATCATCCTCTAGTTCCTATCCCCACAAGTCTAAGGCATGGTTTATCCTTTCCACTCTCCAAAATTTTGCCCAATTCTTTTGCACATATATGCTGGTTATGAAGCAAAGTAGTCCCACTTGCTTTTCCACGTAGCATATGCCCCAGGCAATGAACTGGGTTCATCTTGGAATGCTCTTATGATGACCACTCTTCTGTCAAATGTAACAGGCACTGAGGGCCAGTTTTCATCAGGTGACTTGTCCCCCTTATTACGGACATACATTGAGATGGAGAAGACAGGTGCCTTTTCAGTGGTGGACAAGAAATTGATGAGAAGGGAGGAAAACAGCTTTCAATCAGCCATTTTATAACAGGTGTCTCGTTTGTGTAGCAGTTATGGAGACCGCTCACATGATGGAAAGGTCACATTAGGAAACCTTTAGCTTTCAAGATGGTGTTCAGCAGCTGTAAATAAATAAGAAAAGAGGATGCAATGCCAAGTACTCAACCCACTCTATTTGCCTTTTTTCTTCAGCTCAGGGGCACGCTTTCTTGGAAACTAGTCCTATATATAAATAAGAATGTTTCCCGGGAGCTATTGCACGGGCGTATGTTGCCCGCCAGAGGGCGCCATCGGCTTTCCTTCGCCACTCTTGCCTCCCAGGCTCCGGGGTTTTTTGTAAAATAAGTGAAGTGGGGCCTGCATCAATCACGAGTGAAAAGCGCACAAGCCTCAAGTCTCTCGCCCCAGTCCAGCCTAGCCCGTGGCTCCTCTAAACAGTACGCACAGCATTCCCCTCGACGGCAGTCTAACAACGACTAATACTTGAGGGAGGAAGGAACTGGGAGAAGTCAATGGTGCATATTGTTGTGTATAGTCCACTTTTTCAAATCAGCCCTTGGCTGAAATCTCGGGGCCCATAACGGCGGGCTTTGAGGCTGGCAGCATCTTGCAATAGCAGCACCCGAAGTCGAGGCTGGGCGACAAAAGCGATGAATGGGAGGAGACGATCACCCGGGCCGTCGCTCCCATCGCAGAACCTGGATCCGGGCTCCAGTTGAAAGAGACGCACACTTTTCCTACAAGCCACCCGACGCCCCCCTCTCCTCCAGTAGATCTTACTTTCGAGCAGGACTGCAGTCCTAAACAGCACAGCGAGAAGTAGTTTGGGATGAGTGGGATTGACTTCCAAGTATGTGGTGGTGTGGTGTTCAACATGTCACATTTTACTCGCCTTTGTGGGCACTGGACCTGTGGATGTTCGTGACAAACCGTGACAGGGGTCTCCCCTCCCTCCCGCTGCTGGAAAACATATCTATGTTTGCGGGAGGTCTAATCGACGTCGAGCAATAATCGAGAGGACGCAAAGCAGAGCGGGGAAGTCCCTGTGGATCGTAAGCCGCCCCCCCCCCCAATGTGATCTCTAGCGCAACACACCCAGATTCTCCAGCCCACAGTTGCTCAGCAAGAGTTGACAGCCTGAAGAAGAAGAAGACTCGAGGGGCAATCGGGGGTGTGTGCGTGTATGCGTGTGTGTGTGTGTGAGACAGAGAGAGAGAGAGAGAGAGAGAGAGAGAGCGCTTCTTCCCTCCCCACCCTCCCTCCCGGCCTTTCCACAGGACGCGCCTGTTGAACACATTAAACCGGCCCTGGATGCGAAGGTTGGGCTTGGAGAAACCCTCTCTCGCTCCCCCTTTCCCCGTCCCGGTCCCAGAGACGTCATGGGAGGGAGGGAGGTATAAAATTTCAAGGCAGAGGAGCCGAGCGAGGCAGTGTGCGTGTGTCGCGAGCGGGCGAGCCAGCGCTGAGGAGCCGGGCAGGAGCGGCGGGGCCCAGGCGAGAGCAGGGGGCCGGGGCCGCCCGACTGCGGAGGGAAGGGGGCCGGGCGCCTCGGTCGCTCTCCCGCCCCGCCATGAAGCCGAGGCGCAGGTCCTGAGGGGCGAGTCCGCCCGGGCGCCGCTGCTCCCGAGGGGCGCGTCGAGCCAGCGGGAGGCATGAGCGGGGCGCGCCGGCAGCCGCCAGTGCGCTCCCGGGCCCGCCTGACACGTGCGCTCCCGGCTGCGCCTCCGCAACGCCTGGCTCGGGAGCTGCCCGGCGCAGTGTGAAGCCGGAGCGCGGACGGGCAGGTTCTCCTCTGGCCGCAGCCGACTGAGCCGCCTCCACTTCGCTTTGGCCCGCGCCGGGACCCATGGAGAGGGACCCCGGCGGCGAGGCGAAGCGCCGACCCGCTTCCTCCCGCCCCCCGGTGGCCGGCGGCGCCTCTTAGAAGCGCTCCCCTGGCCGGGCCCTTCCTTCATGCCCCTTCTCGCCCAGCGCCACTCGTCGGCCAGGATCGGCTGCCTCGGCGGCGCCCCTCCGCCTGCGCGCTCCCCCCCGGGGGCTGTCCGTGAAGATGCGCTTGCAAAGGACTCTGCTGCTCCTCTGCCTCCTGAGCTTGGCGGCCGTCAGCCTGGCGCTCTCCTCCTGCACCACGCTCGACCTGGAGCACATCAAGAAGAAGCGGGTGGAGGCCATCCGCGGCCAGATCCTCAGCAAGCTGCGCCTCACCAGCCCCCCGGAGACGGTGGGCCCGAGCCACGTGCCCTACCAGATCCTCGCTCTGTATAACAGCACCCGGGAGCTTCTGGAGGAGATGGAGGAGGAGAAGGAGGAGAGCTGCTCGCAGGACAACACCGAGTCCGAGTACTATGCCAAGGAGATCTACAAATTTGACATGATCCAGGGCCTCCCGGAGCACAGTAAGTCCTTCTTCCGGCACCCCCGAATTGCCACTGATGCCGTTCGCACGTCTCTGTGTTGGGGGGGGGGGCTGGCCCTTGTAGAAGCCTGGAGAGGAGTGGGAGGCTCGCAGAAGGCTGAGGTGGGGAAGAAGGTTGGGTGACAGTGTCTGAGTTGGGCTCGGGTGATGGCCATTTTACACAGGAGGAACTGAACCTAAGAGAGAGAGAGTGCCCTTTGGGTTCTTGGGGGAGGTGAGATTTGAGCCTAATTTCCAGGCTCAGTACTTGGACTGAATATCCCGCTTTCCATGTGCCTGGCTCTCCAGGAAGCAGAGACAGAGCTTCTGGAACAGGGCTTCTGAAAGGGGGCTTTGGGGCACAGCTTGGCAGGCTTTACGTTGGGATGCAAAGCTCTATCTAGGAAAGAGGTTGGCCACTATTGCCCAATGCGGCACCAGCTGCAGCAGTGTCCTTGCAAATGTTGTACAGAAGAGCATACACGTGCACCTATGTTGTGGTTGTAGACCTGTTCCTGTACATGAGGAAGAAGTCTGTGTAGGTATCACCCACAAAACAATAGATGCTTAGTCTGCCTTCAGAAAGAGTCATGTGTGTTCATGTGCAGTCCCCAAAATGCATCTCCATTTATTAAAGGGCCATACCAGTTAGTAATGTGCACTGGTGTGTCCAAATTGTGGAGGAGGGGGGGAAACATTTTAGTGAAGGAATGAAAAGAAGTATTTGTGTGTGCAAGTAGTTCATGGGTAATATGTGTGGGAATTGTGGCTCTGGAAGATCTGCAGATGGGCTGTGTGATCTTGGTGCACTGGTTTGTTCTTTCATATCTGTGACTTGAGCACACAGTAAATGAATTTCAAAGCTAGGCCTGGAATCTTGGCTAAGGCGGAGGGAGCATGGGCAGGTTTTCCAATCATCTGGGGGCTGTGAGATTTTGGCAATAACCACATTCCCATTTGCTGCCATTAGGTGTCCTCATGGGTTCTTGAATTACAGCAGATCAGTGTGGGGGTGGGAAGCAGGATGTGGCCAAGTGTTGCTGAGGGAGGGACGGGGAAAGCAACAACAGGAGAGGATGACAAGAGTTGGGATGCGAAGCCCTGTCTAGGACAAGAGTGTATATGGGGGGGGGGTATAGTACAAAAAGAGGGTATGTAAAATTAGAAGCAAGTCCCCTTGAACAAAGTGTTACATATTTCTGAGTAAACATGCTGAAGACTGGGCTGTGGGAAAGCTAACTTATTATTTGAAACGGAGAGTTACAACAGGCATCCAGGCTCTGGCTGAACAGCAGCCCCCCCCCCCCCAGCAGGTGGAGGGGTTAGAGCATTGGCAACAGGGCAGGCCAGAGACCGGCCAACTTTCAATGTCTTGGAATAACATCGGCCCAAAATCCAGCCAGTGAACAGAAAACCAAGCCAATGTCTAGAAGAGAGGGAAAGAAGGGGGAAGGGGGAGAGACAGGCATCAGGATCAAGGAGTGGAAAAAGAGCTTCGAGGCCTGGGAGCCAAAATTATCCTTAAAGGACTGAGCAGAAGTACTAAAATGTTCCACATGCGCCATGGTAGTCACCCCAGGCACTGGGCATGCCCCCTGCTTCGTGCAGTTAGCCCGATTTCAATAACTTTAGCTGGACCCTAAAGTCAGGGGTGCAAATATGGCTGCCCATGAGAATTTAGGCCAGCTCATGCATGAATTTAGCATGGTGAAGTATATGCTGTTGAGTGAGTTTGGATTCTAATCCATCATGTGGCTGGTCACATTCCTCCTTCGGCAAAACCACAGTTTTGCTGCAGTCCTAAAGGGACATGTGGGTTGAGTGGTGAGTTGGCTGCAGGGCAAAGCGGACACATAACCACCACTTAACCACTTAAGAGCTGCCACAGAGATCTTCACACTCAACACACCACTTTGGTTGCAGGCCCTCATTGTCCTGTTGTGTCACTGATGTCTGAGAACTGAATTATGTGTTTCTGTGTGTGCCTTTTGGAGCAGGATGTTACTGATACAAAACAGTATGATTTGTGTGGTTTCAAGCGTGCCATCATGGTCCCCATCTCAAAATGGGGGTCATAACTTGACACTGCTGAAATTGCCCAGTCCACATGAAGGTGCACGTCATATAAACAGCTTTCCATGTGGGGAACGGAAAAAAATTGCCCAGCAAGCACGCATACACTATCCTTTTCAATCACATGGTTCCCATTCCACATGGGTTTTAGAAGGGGTGGTGGCGAACTGGCCCTCAGAGGCGCATAGTAGTAATTTGAGCCTCCCTTGGAAATCTCAGAGATGAAGCAGGGAGCAAACAAAGAAGAAAGTTGAAGAATCATCTAGATATTCAGAAGAGGTCTATGAGCTGATATTGAAAGCAAGCACAGTAGAGCAAGCACTGTTTCAGCAGCAGAGGAAAGCAAGATGCTCAGGAGAGAGAGGTCAAAGGCACGAAAGTACAGATGCTGTGCAGATGTGCATTTCTGCCTTCTCCCACCAAAGGGTGGTAATGTGAGCCACAGAGGCTGAATCTATGCAGATGCAGACTATTGTCTGTAGGTACTGATGTTTGTCAGTGTGATGGTAATGCAAAATAGGGCACTGACAAAGTAGTGTGGTAGCAGCAGATTGTTAAGTATATATTGAACTTCCTAGCATAGGGCCAACCTTAACAGTCTCCTGTTACAGGATCACATTCTTCATGCAATTCATAAATCTTCACACAGTCTATAACTTGTAGAACTCACGGTCATGGAATGTGTGTGGTCATGAGCTGCTACCCTGGATGGCTTTAAAAGGATGCTGGACAAACTCGTGGAAGATGGCTATTAGCCATGAGAGATGAGTGGGACTTCAATGTGAGTTCTTGTCAGTGGCAACAACAAGGGGAGGCTTGGGCTTCTGTGTATCTGCTGGTGGGCCTTCTGGGGTATCTAGTTGGCCACTGTGGGAACCAGGATGCTGGATTAGATAGACCATTGATCTGCTCCATCAAGGCTCTTCTCATGTTCCTGGTGATCCCCATATTGGATAAGGATGCAACAGTTTTGGAAAAGCTACTTGACCATTACAGGAATTCTCATGGAGGAAAGTTTCTTAAGCATGAAGCGGAATGGAAACTTAGAGACGGTTGCTTGGAACGTCCTCTAGTGTATTTCACAATACGTTGCTGTGCAATAAAATCTGTACACTACCTACCAGGAATTCTCTGGAAACCTGCAATATTGTTCACGTAGTAGGAAAGCCATTTATGAATACAACATAAACATTAATCACATTTTCCCAAATATGGGTGATGTTTTTATTGGAAAAGGTAACTTTTTGAATCAGCACTGGTTTGACATTTACCCAGCTGGAGTAAGACAATAACACAAGTAGTATTTGAAGAAGCTACATGTGTTCATTTGATCAGCCTGTCCCATAGTTTTACGATCATGGGCAGTGCTTAAATCAAGAAGTGCCAAGAAACTCTTCTAAAGAGATGGGTGGGGGGGAGATGGATAGTAATCACCACTATTAATACTTTATGTAAAAAGGCCACACCCTTGCCTCAAGGGGCTTCTGTTTAAAATTGCACACACTTTATATAGATGGGAGTGTATTACAATAACAGAACCCGAGATCAGCACAAAAAGAACTCAGCAAATGGAGGTAAGGCTGTTGGCTGCTGATGCTTTGTATGCCTTTTTAGTAGGTACATGGAAGGAAACCAGTTCCCCAAAGAGGGGGGTCATTGTTAGGGTTGCCAGCCCTGGGCTAGGAGATACCTGGAGATTTTGGAGGTGGAGCCTGGGGTGGGCAGGGTTTGAGGATGGGAGGGACTTCAGTGGGGTACAATGACATCGAGTCTATCTTTCAGAGCAGCCATTTTCTCCAGGTGAACTGATCTCTGTCACCTGGAGATCAGTTGTAATCCCAGGAGATCTCCAGCCACCACCTGGAGGTTGATAATCCTAGTCATTGTGCCTACTGCCCCTCTCCCTACCATGCAGCTGTGCTTGCTGAAGTTCCCTCGGACATAAAAAGGAATACTGTGAAGACATTTTCCTGAGAGAAAGCCCCACTGAATAACATACTTCTCAGGATTGCTGCCTTAGAGGCCCAGGCCATGGCGGTACTGGAACTACAGATAAAAGAAATTGAGTTGAAGAGGGATATTGGAAATGGGGTTGGCTCAAGGGAAATGTGAGCCTATTCTAAATGTGTGAGTGGTGGTCTCAGGTGCAGGGAGAGGTTAAATGCCAACTCATGCATAAAGTAGAGCTAGACATATCAAGGAGGCCTAGAATAGTCAGGAGTGCTGCTAGGGGGAACCTAACTTGCTCTGGGAGAAGGCCTTTAGGCTGCTTTGTCTCAGGTGCAGGGAGAGGTTAAATGCCGACTCATGCATAATGTAGAGCTGGACATATCAAGGAGGCCTAGAATGGTCAGGAGTGCTGCTAGGGGGAACCTAACCTGCTCTGGGAGAAGGCCTTTAGGCTGCTTCCTGCTGGGCACTTACCAGCCTGTGTATATTCACAATACAGAGAACTCAAGGGACTAATTGACTCTGTGGACATGGGTGTCCTTTTCATTGGCCACTCCTGGAACCAAGTTGTTTGCATCCCAAGAAATGCTATGTCAAATTATAACATATATAACCTTGGTGAAAGCCACAAGACTGCCTCTCAGAAGTCTGTAGAATTTTTTCCACTTGCCTGAGCTGATGGTTTTGGTCCCGTGTCTTCAAAAGTGGCTGATGTTCAGCTTTCCCATGGCTTTGTCCATTTGCCAGGTAGTGATTCAGAATGAAGTTAGAGCCAAAAGCAGTCTGTTCCCCCTCCCCAACAGGGGAAAGTGTGTGTGTTTGGGGAGTTGGGGGGGGGGAACAGCCTTATTCCATTGAGGACTGGTTATGGACTGATATAGACAAATCTGAATTACATACACAGGAAATGGTCCCTGGCTCCAAACCATCAGCCCGATAGCTCAGAGCACTCATCCTTTTCCAAGGCTCCAGCAGAGG